GCTTTGCGCCTTTCCTGGAACTCGCTTTGGAGACCAGGCTGGCCTCGAACTCACAGAGATCTGCCTAGCTCTGCCTCCCGAGTGCTGGGATTAAAGGTGTGCGCCACCACCACCCGGCAGGGAACCGCTTTTAACCAGACCCAAACCATTAGCTGATGTTGTTGAAAATGTAGTTCATGTATCATATGATGGAACTTACTTGGAAACTAATTCTATTTCTCACAATCTCTTATCTGTAATAGCAAGGCTGGGAGGGGTCACTGGAATCTATTGAAGTCCTAGAAACAATTTCTCCTTGGTCATGGTTTCCTACTAATGTAAGTTACCTGAAATTTCAAAAACAAAACAAAACAAAACATATAAAACAAATATAATAGAGTAAGGCCTAAGACAGGACACAACTTTTCAACTTCAGGAAAGTAAGAGTTATGTGACTGAAAGAAGAGAATGCATGAGTGTCTCTCATTGGAGAAGTGTGGAACCATAGCCAGGATGGAGCAGTGATGTCCTGATAGAACAGAAACATGACTTAAGGAATTTACAATTGTTTCCAAGCTTTGTAGGAAGGTCTCTAATTTATATACATATAACTCTCAAATATTTTATGCATAATACTTTGCAGTTCTAAAAGGGAGAGATTGAGAAGATAAACTCTCTGTTTAATGGAGTAGAATTAGAAGGTCATTGAGTTAGGCTAAAATTATGGAAGTAGAAATTGTCAGAGTGAGATGGAAGCTAATATATTTTGATGTCAAATCCCAAAATTTTTCATTACACTGAAATATGACAATGTGATAGGACTAAGAAGGACCTGTAGCTGAATGTTTTCCTATGTCCTGGTCGGCCAGCAGTTGAAACAAATCTTTCCCACTTGCTTTCCCCAAGTAAACACACAGAGGCTTATGTTAATTACAAACTATATGGCTTATTGGCTCAGGCTTCTCACTTACAAGCTTTTATACTCAGCCCATTTCTGTTAATCTATATGTCACCATGTTTTCCATGGTTTTATCTGTGTGCCATTACATGCTGCTCCCTGAACAGCAGGCTGGTGTCTGCTGTGTGAAGCAGGAACCAAAAGGATCATCTCGTCTTGCAAAGTTTAACAGTCACCTTCCTATGGGTCCTGCATGTCCAGTTTATACAACATTTTGTCAAGCAGTCCAAGTAAGAACAGTTTCTTGCCCAAATGGCTATTTTTGTAAAGAAGAAGATAAACTCCATATGGAGTGTCTTTGGTGCCCATCTTCCTCTTTGAAGTAAAATGGTGCTACCAGGAGCAGATGTGTCTCATTGTCCAGGAAAGTCTAAGTTTTTAAAACATTTTAAATGCCACATTCTATAGGTCTTTGAAGTGTTTGAAGATTACCTACCTGATTGAAATATATCTATGTATACCTAGAAAATTTAACTGACATGACTATAAGTTTGACTATCATAAAAGACGAATTATTAATCTGTATTTCTTAATTATTCATTACAATTTAAATGAGTTACATAACATAATACCTTAAATGAGTGTAGAAATATATATACAGTATAACAAAATTAACTCTAAATTTGTAATAAACTAAAATCTATAGCATTGTAAAACATTTTAAGCAAGTTGTTACTCTTTATCCTATCTATAATGTCCCCTGTTTTTAAAAAAAGAGATTGCATTTATAATCAACCTCCTTTAAATAAAAATAAACATTCATAAACAATATTTTGAGAATTTGGGTGTAGCTTCTCATACTATTTCCTGCTGAATGGGTGTGCTGACAATCTTATGGGGATCCTGAGAAAATTAAGAATTATGGTATGTCCTGACTGGAATAGTCTGTGACACTGTATGCTCTGAGCCAATTGCCTTGAAGCTGTTCTGGATGTTGGACCCCCCCCTCTCAGGGGGTCTTCCTTGATGAAACCATATTAGCCTGGAAACAATTCATATGTTCTCATTTCCTGTAGAATCAAAAGCAGAACCTCTTTTCCAAAGCAACGTATCCTTAGACATAGATTTTGAAATCGAGATATTTTTAAAATACACATATTGATTTAACTCAACAGCAAAAACTATATCCACCACGCACCATGTTGCACAGCTTATAGAAAACTCTGTGTAACTCGGAGGGAATCTGCCATGCTATAGCTCCAGCCTGCATGCCACAAACCCACCACAGCCAGGGGACATATCATTGTACCTAGGCCCACCATGAGCAACATGAAGTAGAAAACTGTTTTTGTTTTTGGCTCAGTTATTGTGTGTTTAGAAGCCCTTTTTAAAACTCTTTTAGGACTTATGGAAATTCTAGAGCCCCAAGTTGGTATGCCAAATGATATAAGCCTCTGTGTGTTTATTTGGATCTGAGCAGCTGCAGGACTGATAGGTGAGATATTTGTTCTGACTGTGGGCCAGGTGAGAAAACTTTTACCTACAAGGACCTATTAATATATCACCTGAGATTGAAGCTCATCACTTCTTTCATGTTGTATTATTTCTTGAGATGGTAATATCAGGAGAAAGAATTGGTTTTTGAAATGGGTGAAGTTGTTTGTTTTTGAATAATTCAATATGGACTTTTCCCTGATATTTACAATAAGGAATACCACATAGTCATGCAGCTCTCTGACCAAGAATATATGTCAGAGAGTAGAATGGTTTACTAACATTCACAAAGTTCTTGATTTGATTTGAATAGCACAAGAATTAGTATGGCTATGAAAACCTGTGATCTTAGTGTTTCAGGGTTAGAGGCAAGATGATCAGAAACAGAAATGCAAGCTCATCATTGGCTATGTATTAATGTTAAGGGAAGTCTGAGAAACTTCAGATTATTTCAATAAACAAACAAAAAAGTAAATGGACACACACACACACACACACACACACACACATATATATATATATATATATATATATATATATCAAACATGTAAATGGAGATGTAAGAGAAAGAATAAAATCCACGATTCATCCTAAGTATAGAAACAACAACAAAAAAGTGCAGGATGGATGCATAGAGAACTCTTAGGCAGGAAGGACCTAAAGCTGATCTAATTTGCCTCAGAACTGGTTCCTGGTATGTGTTGCATTCAGGCCTACATACAGCAAAGATTTTGGGAAACCTAGATGTCTTGGTTATTCTGTAGCTTTCGTGGAAAAAAAACGTCTGAATAGACACATTTACATAGTGTAGAAACAGGACTAGTAGCATGCACCACTAAAAAGGAAGGAAGGAAAGAAGGGAGGGAAGGAGGGAGGAAGGGCAACAAAAAACACTCAACAACAACAAAGAAAGAGGAGGAGAAAGTTTTCTCTTTGGTCATTTAATAAGAGAGAAAGAAAGATAATGAGAAGAATAGAAAAAGAAGAGTGATAAAATGAGTAGACATAGTATCTCAGGCCATCCAAAAAATGGCCCTGATTGAGTCAATACAAAGTCTATCTCTGGGCAGGGTGGAGGTGGCACACGCCTTTAATCCCAGCACTTGGGAGGCAGAGGCAGGTGAATCGCTGTGAGTTTGAGGCCAGCCTGGTCTACATAGTGAGTTCTGAGACACCCAGAACTGTTTCACAGAGAAACCCTGTCTTGCAAAAACAACAACAAAACCCCCACAAAACAAAACAAAACAAACAACAACAAAACCCAAAGTCTATCTCTGGGATAAATGTAGAAGCAGTAAAAAGGGGTTTCAATCTCCTCTGCATCTAGAGGTTAATATGTTATTCCTTTGATGTTCTTTCTCAGAAAATTCTGAAAACTGAGTGGAAAACTATGTGCTCTGTCCAGCAATTAACAGCAATTTTAAAATTCCTTCATGTAGGTCTACAGAGCCTAGTGCTGACCTATGTCAATGCCATCAGAAGTGGAGAACTACCCTGCATGGAGAATGCTGTCCTGACTTTGGCCCAGATAGAGAACTCAGTTGCAGTGCAAAAGGCCATTGAACACTATGAAGAACAGATGAACCAGAAGGTCCAGCTACCCACAGAAACTCTCCAGGAGCTGCTGGACCTGCACAGGCCCATTGAGAGAGAGTCTATTAAGGTCTTCATGAAGAATTCTTTCAAGGATATAGACCAAAAGTTCCAGAAGGAATTAGGGGTAAGTGTGGTACCCAAAATCATAAGACAAAGAAAAATGTATGCCTTTTCTGGTATGAGCATTGTCCTTAGTCTCCAAGACAGTGACATCCAGAGATGTGCACAGGTTTGCAATGGTAATTGAAATATTAGATTCTGCTGGAAATTGAGAAAAAAAGAAAGCATTATAGTTAACCACATTTTCCACAAAATTTCATTCTCTTTATTTTAAAAATATTTATTATAAAAAAAAAAATCAGTGATGCTTCTCCCTGATTAGTAAGCCCAGATTTTACTAATGATAGTCAGTAATGATACTTGAGGTCAAGAGTTCTAGTGTTGGCGGGCGGTGGTGGCACACGCCTTTAATCCCAGCACTTGGGAGGCAGAGCCAGGCGGATCTCTGTGAGTTCGAGGCCAGCCTGGGCTACCAAGTGAGTTCCAGGAAAGGCGCAAAGCTACACAGAGAAACCCTGTCTCGAAAAACCAAAAAAAAAAAAAAAGAGTTCTAGTGAAACTAGATAGTGAATGTCAGTAGGAAATAGGCATCTTCATACCTAAATTACTTTCAGGAAGTAACACATGTAGATATTCAATTCCATTATGCTTTCTAAATGTTGAAATGCCCATCATTATCATCTTCATCTTTCTTTAACAACACAGTGACAAAAACCATACAAAGTGTTACAATATCAAAATGTATTTATTCTTTTACTGAGTACTTGTAGTAAAGTCTCTGGTCTTAGTACTCTGTGTTACCTCATAATGTGGCTAAAAACCTCTGAAATTGGTGTTGCTCATCCTGTTTCAGAGACAAGGAATCATTGGTCCACGACTGTTAAGTTCACAAAACAACAGAATGGTGGGTTCAGGAAGTCCACAGGAGCCTGATCTGAGCTATCCCTAAAGTTAGAGAGTTGACAAGACAAAGGTTTCCTTTTCAGTAGTGTTTGTGCTTTGATAATTATGTCCTAAATCAGGAAGGTGGGCAGCAGGAGCGGAACTGGGAGATGCCTTCAGGAAATTATAAACTAAAGGACCAGTTTCTGCAGGGACACCATGATGTGAAAAGCATGATCCCATTTTGACATTCTCCGGTAGTCTGTTGTGTTAACTTCCTCCTCTCAACCATCTGTGTGACTTTGTTTTTCCCCAGGACCAGCTGAATGCTAAGCTAGATGCCTTTATTAAGAAGAATATGGACATGTCATCAGCTCGTTGTTCAGAGTTGCTAGAGGGGATCTTTGGTCCTCTGGAAGAAGAAGTGAAGCAGGGGACATTTTCTAAACCAGGGGGTTACTACCTCTTTCTTCAAAAGAAACAAGAGCTAAAGAAAAAGTACAATCAGGCTCCTGGAAAGGGGCTCCAGGTAAACTGAGTAATTGGTACCATTTTGGGGTCTTGATGTAGAATCTCTTATGGTGATATTTTATCTGTATCTCCCAATAAAATTTATCTGAGGATCAGAGGAAGAAGCCAGCAACTATATTAAACATACAAATCAGGTAATGGTATCATACACTTTTAATCCTATCATTCAGGAGGAAGGGATCTGTCTGGATTTCTGTGAATTCAAGGCTACACTGGGAACAGAGGCAGGTGTGGTGGCACATGCCTTAAATTCCAACACTAGTTAACCATAAAGGTTTGGAGGTCTGTACAGACAGACAGGAAGTGACAGAGCTGGGCAGGAAGCGGAATGATGTAGCTGGACAGAGAAAGCAAATGACATAGCAAAACAGAAAAGCATATAGGCATGGGCATACAGGAAGTAGGTCTCTTTGGAGACTGAGGTGTCAGTGAGGTGAGGTTAGCTTGTGGCTTTTCCTATTCCTCTGATCTCTTGGGTTTTCATCCCTATATCTGGCTCTCTGTTTTTATTTAATAAAACCTTTTAAGATTTGTGTTACAATCTCTGTCAAATGCTAGTGAGAACAAGGACAATGCAATTGTGTTTTTGGATAGTGACTTTGCCTTTGATTCATCCGGGTAGACAGCCATTCATGATACCAAGAGCAACTTCTTTGGGAGTACAATTGGACCTCTCAGAAATGCTATGGGATTTATTCACTCACTCATTTATCTGTTTCATCATCCAACAGTGATTATTTATCCCCATGTTTCCAGTACTTCTCAGGGTGCTAGTGTTACTGTAATTTAAGGAATAAAGAAACCAAACCAAAAGTAGCTAGTAATTTCTCACTCATAACCCCTAGGTAATGTTAGTTCACAAACTAGTAATAAGGGTAGTAACAGCAGTTGACACATAGATTGTCCTCATTGTTTTCTAGAAGTTAATTCACTAAGTTCTGACACCAATTCTACCAAGTATTTATTATTACTGTCTCATAAAAAGAAAAGGGAATTGTGGCAGAGAGAAGTTAAGCCCTCATTCAAGATCACAGAGTCAGAGTATTACAGCCTGAATGAAAATCCAAGTTGCATAGTCTTTGCCTGTAACAGCTCTAAACTGCCCTACTTAGGCAATAGAGGGCAAGGTTAGATTTAGGCACATATTATTTTCAAACATTGATGGCTTTACAAAGCCTAAATATTTCTTCCATTTTGTATACAAAAAGTAAGGAAAAAAGAATCCAGCCACTCTAATGACTTGATCATGCTCTGGGTTCAAGGCTTTTTCCTTTGTTGTACTCAAGAACCTTAGTACATGGTGCCCTTTTCTGGCCTGTATTCATGCTCTAAGCCACTGCTAGTGATCATATGATTGTGTGATTTTTGACTAGAATTTAATCCCACCCCTGCTGTACAAAGAATAATATATACAAAACAGTATGTTTTACCCATGATATCAGACAAGGAAGTCGAGCTGAGTCTTCAAAGAAGTTAGACAGAGAGACAAATGGTTATGAAAGAAATGGAAATATCAGAAACCAGAAAGCTTACATAAGAATAAATTGATGCTTTTTAATAGTTGTGTATAGTCACTGGCACAAAAAAAAAAATATCAAGACATAAAGTGACAGGCCAGAGGTCAGATAAGTCAGTGGGTGTCTTGGAGGGCACTCAAAAAGACCTGATAATTATTTTGGATAAGTGAGAAAGTCAATAGGGGATTTTAAGCATCCGTGTCTTAGGTACTTTTCTATTGATGTGAAGAAAACCATGACCAAGGGAAGTCTTAAGGAAACATCTAATTTGGGGTTCGTTTACAGCTTCGGAGGGTTAGTCCATTATCATGATGATGAGGAGTACAGTGACTGTACACAGGCAGGTGTGGTGCAGGAAAAGTAGCTGAGAGCTTTATTTATATCCTGAGCTGCAGGGCACAGCCCAAGGGAGAGAGATACTGAGCCTGGCATTGGGCTTTTCAAACCTCAAAGGCAGCTCCCAGTGACACACTCACTCCATCAAGAACACATCAACTCCAACAAAGCCAGACTTCCTAATCCTCATCAAATGGTTTCATTCTCTTGTGACTAAGCATCAAAACATGTGAGCCCATGGGGGCCATTCTCATTCAATCACAACAATGCCCCTTCTTGAACTACTGTGACAATATTCTGGATGCTCTGAGAATGATCTGTAGCAGTCTTTCTGATAGGAGGGAAGGTCTCAGGCTAGCAGGTTTGGATGGAGCAGATGAGAAGTAAAAGTTCCTGGTTAACACTTCAGGGAAGGCCCCATGCCTGGAAGTACATGGCTAACACACAACAAAGTCAATGATATGTAACATGAATCTTAAAGGTTATTACTAATAAAATCAAACCCGAGGCCAGTTATTGGGGTCAATGCTGGTAGATCAGAGAGACAGAACAAGCCACAGCTAACCTCACCTGGTCAACTTCTCAGCTGGTCTTGTTTCCTCAGACTGG